ATAATAATAATAATAATAATAATAATAATAATAATAATAATAATAATAATAATAATAATTTATTATTATTATTATTAATATTATTATCCACCTGGCAAGGATTTCTTTACTTTACATCTTACTTTTCTGTCAATTTCAATGCGGCCCCAACCGCAATGTGTGCCCCCCCCCCCCCCCCCCACTCACTCACACACACACAAATCTTATTTCAAAACAACCGGTTCAATACTGTGGTGTTTGATTTTGATTTCAATGGCATTTTGAGTAACCATGGCGACATAATTTGCAAACAAAGACGCCATTTTCAGTCATTTTTCATTAATAATAATAATAATAATAATAATAATAATAATAATAATAATAATGTCATCACAATGTCAGCACTGTATGTTTCCATACAATGGCGAAATTAGTCTCTGCATTTAACCCATCCACCACCAGGTGGTGCAGTGGGCAGCTATTGAGAGCGCCTGGGGGGCATTTTGGGGATGAGGTGTGCTGCCCAGAGACGCGTGATGTGCAGTGACTGGGGATCGAACCTGGGACTTTCGGGTCCCAAGCCGGCTGCCCTGCCTCTACACCATCTTGGCCCCCTAACTTGTTATAAATCAAATATCCAAGATGGCTGACCTGAGTTGAAAAGGAAAAATATTGTAAATCAGCCATTTTTAGGGATATTAAGCTAAAATTTGGTGTGGCGGTAGCTGACAGCAATGTTCAATAATTAATTAATTAATTTTAAAAATCAAGATGGCCACCAAAGCTAAATTTAAATGGCTTAAACTCTTCTATTTTTGTACATAGAGCTGAAATGTGGTGTGGTTATAGATGATGATGTTCCCCATCACATACTGAATCCAAATAAAAAATCCAAGATGGCCGCCATAGCTTAAAAGTAAAAACAACTTTAACTCATTGATATTTTCGAGCTGACATTTGGTAAAGTGGTAGCTGAGAGCAAAGCCCAACACAGAGTAGGAACTTTCTAGTTGTTTCTATAGTTACGGTGTAGCAGCAACAGCTTTGTTTCATATTGTAGTTTTATTTAGCATTTTTATTTTTGCATTTTAAATACTATTGGTTACCAGATCTTTTCAATTAAAAGAGAGAAAATCACCAGCAGAAAAACAAACAAACAAACAAACAAACAAAAAAACAAATCAATTAACATACGAACAGTTGAGGTCTAATTGGCTACAGTTAGATGAATTAAATGTTTAATGACTTTAAAAACTAATTGTTTTTATTATGTCAGAACCTTATCTTAAAAAAAAAAAACAACAAAAAAAAAACAATATAGTCCAAGCTCTAGAGCTCTAATTCCCAAACTTTCATCTTCTTTTTATCTAATTACATTTTAGATAAATGTTTGCTTTATGTTTGAATCATTGCAAAATCCATAACAATCACATTTTATTTAATTCTATCGTGTTCTCTTAAAAAGGCAGAATCACACACAATAAAAACACACACACACACACACACACACATGCAGACGTGATGCTTTGGTCATCAAACTGTAGTTTTCACCCAGAATGCCTCTGTCTGTGAACAGACGGACCTTCGTCTAAAATAAAAAATGTAAGCTAAAAACATCCGCCTTCAATCAGCCTCTTTTAAATAATTGGAGCTTTTGTGCACGTTTGTGCTCATTCTGAAAGAGATCTGATGTTACTATAGCAACAAGTCCCCACTCAGAATCGTTACGACACTTGATTTGAATGCATGTTCGAATCGGAGAGAAGTGATGCTGCTTTTATATTTGGAAACTGTGATTTGTCATTTCTCACCATTTGGAAATGGACAGGCACATTCTTTACGTGCTGGTCATGTGACCTGTGGGTTTGTCACCATCAAACTTTAACAAATCAGGTCAGGAAAGTATAACAATGATATCAAGGGCATGAAAAAGATCGGACTCTGATGAATTTCATCACTTTTGCAAATTGCAGTAGAGAATTAGTCTTATAGATTCTTGTGCTTCTCAAAAAGCAACATCTGCTCAGATACTCTGCTTTTTATTTTTATACACTGGTTTTTTATGTTGAACCAGTGTGTTCTGTTGCAGAAGGAAAAGACGGTTACCTGTTTCAGCGCACGCTCGATCTCCACCCCCTGGGCCCACGGGACAGCGGGGTTGGCCAGGCAGTCCCCGGTGTTGGCTCTCCTGGTGAAGTCGATGCGCTGTTTGTGCAGGTATCGGAAGGCTTCAGTCATCACCTGCACTGCATCGTAGGTCAGTGCTGAGGTGTACTAGAAGAAAAAAATAGTTAATGATTAAAATATTCCACCTGTCAGTTTAGTGATAAATTAAACATTCACTTTAGCAACTGCACAATAAACTGTATCTAAATTCTGATCATAAAGATCTTTATAAATATAGAAAAACATTTTTTTTTATCTGCTGTTCAAAGACTAAATTTCATGTGAACATAATTTTTCAACTGGGAGGAGTGGACTGCTTCCTGCTGTTCAGAGGTGAATCTTTGCCTCAAGCGTAATTCAAGCTTCTTAAGAGTTTCATTCACAAATGATGGTAGGATGAAGGGGAAGTTTAATCTACAGATCAGCGATAATGAGTAAGTTGTTTCGGTCTCTCAAGGTAAAGAAGGTGCTGAGCAGCAAAGCAACGCTCTGTTTTCTTGTCCTTCAATGTTCCAACCCTGCCCTGTGGTCATGAGGTGTGGATGCTGACTGAAAGAACACGATACAAACAGCTGACAGCTTCTCATCAGGTGACTGGGCTCAGATTTGAATTCAATTAAATTCAAGACTTTGGTAGTTCCAGAGGGAAATTAACTGCTGTTGTAACTCATCATCCTGGTTTCATTAAAGAGTTGTGATAGATGCTGTGGGCAGGAAGGATCTTCTGCAGCAGAGCTGAAGAAACTGGCTGCAGATGCCGATCTGTCCACCTGGACCCAGACCTCTCGGTCCTCCTGGGCAGCAGCACCGCCTGGATTTTGGGCAGAACTCCTCCCCAAGCGATGCCCCCCCCCTCCCCCCAGTCATTGTGGACAGCCAGCTGCAGGTGTCAGCAATGATCCTGGACTTCTTCTGGTCATGAGCCACACCTCCCACAAGCTGCAGGATCTCGGCAGTTAGGTAATCAAGCACCACCGTCAGGTAGACCAGAATGCGTCTACGGCTCCTCCTTTTCAACTGATTTGGGATTTGAGGCTGTAGTTGAGGTATTATTTGAGCTTTTGAGATGTTAATTGGCTGCTCCCAGTGGTTAAACACCTTGTTGCCATGGTTACACATCATAACAAATGTCCAAAAGTATAAAAGATTTCAGTAAAAATCCTTCCGGCTGCACAACATCCGATAGCAGAGGAAATAATCATCTCAAAAAGGTGATTTACATCCAGAAAAAGAGGAACTAAAGTCTTCAAAAGTAATATCCCATAACAAATGTAACAGAGCTATTCCAACATGCCGCCACCTTGAGCAGTGCAATTCTAGAAGCTCTGCCAGAGTAGAGCCGCTGCTCTTACTCATCACAAGAAGTCAGCAGAGGTGGTTCAGGGATCTGATTAGGATGCTCTGCAGGTGCCTTCCTTCAATGGTTGGTCAGGCAGTTGAGATCCTGTGACAAACCCAGAACGCCCTGTAGGGATTTGGTATCCTCTGTGGCCTATGGACCTCGAGAAGCTGGAGGGATCATGTATCCTTTTTGGAATACCAAGGAATATACTAGAAGAAGCTGCAGTGTGTCACTGGGGAAAGGGATGTCTGCGTTTCCCATCTGGACCCGTAGCCTCCCTGACTCAATCATGAACAAACAGAAGAAACTGCATGGATAGACTCTTGAGCATTTCTAGATTTAGTACAAATCTTTACTTTGTATGTCAAGTATGTTAAATAAACTCACTTTTCTAACAGTTTTTAAATGTAATTCAATCAAAGCAAATACAAAAAGTGCAAACTGAAGCTCACCCTTATTTTGCTGTCAGCACCAGGGTACTCTTTTTCTTCCATTGCTTCCCAACTTTGGTCAAACTTTGCAACCAAAGGATCCTCAAAATCAACAATCTGGAAGCCTGAAACGTTGGCTCCCCCATACTGAATCTTGGAAAGATCTCCATCGATGAAACCCTGAACACGAAAAGGAAAGATTGGATCCAGATTTACTGCATAACAATAACAATAAATTATTATACAAGCCTAAAGTTTAATGTATAACAACTTACCAGGTTGGCAATGATGTAGTGATAGCCTTTAACGTGTCGACCAATTGTGATGACCTGCAGGGTTATACAACAAACGGTCAGGAAGTCCTACAGGAGCACAGCAAACTCATGACAATCAATAAATACTGCGATGATGACGATGAAGGCAGCTCAGTGAAAAGGATCAGAGCAAATCTATTCTGTTTAATGAGGAATTTGTTTATCTGCAAGGTTCAAGTTTTCCAACTGGAGCAATTTAGTTGTCTCACTTTGACGTTGTGCAATCTGGTAAACATGAAGTGATGCAACATTATTATTATTTTTTTTTGTCTAACAGCACAGTGTAATGCACTTTGTGCTTACAAATGCTTCATAAATCTGTTGTTTTTTTTAATTATAATTTTATAAATTAGCAAATTTACCTCCATTGGGAATAAAATGTATCTTGAGCAACGTGAAAATAAAATCAATTTTACCTTTTTATATATGCTTCCATTAGATAAAGTTATTAAACATCATAAATTTGGGATACATTTTCATTGTTATGCTGATGATACAGTTATATTTGTCCATGACAACGCAATCAATTACTTAGACTACAAGCACCTTTAAAGATACTTGGACAACCCTTAATTTTCTGCTTTTAAACTCAGACAAGACCAAACTTGTTGTTTCTGGACCTGAGCATAATACAAATAAACTTTGCAGTCTTTCACTTTCTCTGGATGGCATTAATTTGACCTCCAGTTCTAAAGTTAAAAACCGTGGTGTTATTTTGGATCAGGATACGTCGTTTAACCCCCACATTAAAAATGTTACCAGGACTGCTTTCTTCCACCTGCGTAATATTGCAAAGATTAGGACGCTTGTCCTGATCCTGGTTCTGCTGGAGGTTTCTTCCTGTTAAAGGGAGTTTTTCCTTTCCACTGTTGCCATTGTGCTTGCTCAGGATGGGAGACTGTGACAAAGTGAAGACTCGACTCAATCTGCTGCTTCCTCCCTTCCTTAGATAAATAACTTTACTTATTGTTGTCAGGTCTCTCTTGTAAATGAGTCCTCGAGGCTCAATGGGATTTACCTGTCTAAAAAAAAAATAATAAATGTTTAAAGTTTCAATTGGCATTTATAATGTATATGAATGTTTCTGTTCAGTGCCCTGAGACAACTTCTGTTGTGACGTGGTGCTTTATAAATAAACTGAATTGAATTGGCTTGAACTGAATGAAAATGCTTTCCCAACAAAATTATAGCAGTCTAGTGTCACAAAAGGGATTGTATTTACCAGGCTTTCATTTATGTGCTGGTTTTACAGACGTAACAGATCTACTAGCTGTTTATGCCATCATTGTTTATGCACATGCATGAGCACAGGCCTGGTTTTATACATTTGATAAATTATCTTGTTGCCCCCTATAACCAGTCTGACAAAATATCACTTTGTAGCAGTGACTATTTCAAAACTGCTTCTTTTACGACAAGAAATACGTAAAACTAACATCTCAGCTCTGTTCCATTTCAGGTTTTAACAATAAAACATTGCTGAGTTCAACTGTGCTTCTTCTTTGGTACACTTATTTGGAAGGCTGCTAATTAGATCTTTAAAATCATGTCTTTTGTCTAAGTGTTCTTCACATTATCCAATAAAATTAGACTTGAAGTGAATCTGTTTTTCCTGATGAGAAGATGGTAATGCCTGAGACATTTAATTTAATCAGATGTAAGTAAACATTAACTGCTAATCAATAACTCTTCCACTTGGGTGTAAAGATGAGCAAAAAAAAGTTGATCTGCTTTAGTTTTTCCTTTTTAATTATGTTTTTTGTTAACAGTCTAAATGAGCCATACGTATAATTTTAATGGTTCTGTTTTCCATCTGTTACATTGCCAAGAGTGTCTGACCGTGCTGGCATTCTAAATGCACAATATACACGTTGATAAAAATGTACAGTTTTGAACTAATTCAACAACAATGAAGTTGTAAAAAATGTTATTTTTCAATTTTTACCTCTTTAATAATTTCTGCTTGACATTCTGCTGTTATATCACATTAGTAAGAAATGCTGAAACTTACATTTAACCAAGCAAGAAGCAGCTCAGAGCAGTTTCTGCAGTAGAATCAAACATCACTGCTAAGCATTGTATAAACCAGGGGTGTCCAGATGTTTTCATCATGGAGCTCCTTTTCAAATGACCATGTCAAAGTGATCTACCTGCTATAAGGTCCGTTTACACGAGAACAACCTCTGGAAAATTAAGTGTTTTTTCAATGTTTATTGGGGGCACCAAACAAAAAATAAGCAGGTTTACATGAAAACGCTGTAGTTTTCATGTCAGTCAGGTTGCCAGATAAGAAATGATGAACTAGTACTGTGACTTTTAAATAATAGTATTTTGACCTAAACGGTCATATGTGCTGAGTAAAGATATTCTAAGATGAGAGATGAGGTGTGTGTTGTGTTTGTTGAACATGTGCAAAGAAAAGCAGAGGTAAATAAGACATTTTGAATTTACCTGGCAACTCTCATTGTACGTGCAACACCATGACAATTACGTCCAAACTGGTGAAGACTCTAACGTCTCTTTGGAGCTTGGATTTTATTAGTTTTGCACCTACAAGCTGAAAAAGAGTGAGCAGCACAAAAACACTCTGCTCTCTGACATTTATTATAACTGTTATTTATTATAACTGTTGTTATATTTATTATAACTGTTGGAGCAGAAAAAACTTTGGACTGCAGCTGCCTGGAGTGTGCATGTGCCACTTCACACTTAGAACATTCCACTTTGAGACCTGGATTCAGGAACCTTCAGTTCAGAGAGGATGAAGCTGTTTTCTATAAATGAACAAACGTTTCACGTCGTGTAAACGTGGCCCATGATTGGCTGCCCTGTCTGTCAATCAAGAGACACATTTCATAGATGATGATCGGCTGACGTCTAGTTTTTAATGACATCTACCCAGAATGCCTCTGAGATTGACCTGAAGATTGAGTTAGACATATTTGGGTACCTTGGGTATAGAATATCATTAAGCCTGTTGCACATTCGTGTCCATCAGAAACACACTTTGAAAACATGCAACAAAAACTGCACAATCTTTAGGACCTGATCCATGATGTCTTTCACTTTGTCCTGCTCACAGTCCAGGATCACCCTCCGCTCCTTTTTGTTCTCCAGGTCTTGGAAAAGCGAGCGATAGGCTTCATCCTTCCTCTCATCTTTGAGGTTCCCCACATTGATGGCTGTCACCTGCCACTTCTTCTCTGCTGCTGTGTCCAGAACAACCTGGAGTGTGGTGAGGCCTGCAGGGGCAGAAGGAACAGAGAACACTTTACAACAAACTGGATCCTCGATGTAACAGAAACATTAAACTACCTACAGAGGGAATAAGTTTAAAGTGCTCAATTTATTTATTTTTTGGTCTGAATCCTGGCCACCATTCTGTTTTTAGTTTTTATATTGCTTGAATGTATAGAGATCAATCTGTGGTGGCCAAGGCCGTCATTGATCACTCTGCGTTGCCTCCTACAAGAAAAAAAAACCTCTTCTTCTCCAAAGTGCAGTTCTCACCCACTTGAGGATCTCGCACCAACGACATTAAGGTTTACTTAAATTCTCTGTCAGTTCTAGTCCAGAAAAACACTCACCTCAAAAACTATAAACAGTCACTCTTGAAATCATTCATTGATGGGGGCATGCGCCCCCGCCGCTTGTTGTTGTCTCTGATTCCTCCTTGTGTTCTTGCTGTCACCAGTTTATTTTTCCTCACCAGTTTATTTTTCCTCACCAGTTTATATGTCCTCGTCTATTTTGGTACATCCGTCCTGCCTGTCCGCTCACACCTCGTCCCTGGGCTCATTAGTCTCACGTGTCACCACTTTGTTCATCTGCTGCCTCCCTTAATTGTTCCAGTTCATCTGCAGTCTGGCTTCATGCTTCCATGGCCTGTCTGGGTCTCCTCTATGACCCTTAAAGTGTCTTCTTAGCTTTTCACATGTTTTTTGCTGCCGTACCAGCCTTTTTTCTTGTGAATTTTTGGGATTAAAATGTTGTTTTTTCAAGCCTGTCTTTTGGGTTCTTCCTCCACAAACTCTGACACTCCAACTGGAATGGATGAATAAGAAACGGAACTAAAAATAAAATGTATATCAGGCTCCGACTGATTTTTGTAACTGCAGAACGACTTGATTCATTTTCTGCTTATTCAGGCATCGTGGAGGTTTTACAGCAATTAGTTGGTACCTTATGTAAAGTGCTCATCATGATGAGTCACAGGTGTTCTGCTGCAACCCTGACCAACAAGTGGGAGGAAAATGGCTGCAACAAACCACGAACTGCATCAGAAGCTTAATGACGGTGTGTTTGTGCAGAAATCAAGATTGGTTTTGGAGTATTTGTTTAAATTGCATCCACAGTTTGTGGACCAAACAATATCTATTATAGATCATCTTGTTCTTTAGCTCTTTAAAGGTGAATAAGTGTGAAAAAGTAACTGCAGGTAAGTCAAACTGAAAACAATCAAACCAACTGACAGTGACAATATGATGAAATGCAAACGCAGCCAACTTATACTAAATACACAAAGACCAAAATAACTCTTTGAATTCATATTCTTATAACCAACAAGTCTCCATGTTGAATCTTTCCTGATATTGATCCATGTTCTACAATATGCTGTCTAAGGGTGGTTTGATGAAAAGTGTTGAGTGTTTCAACTCACCACACTGAGGTGAATTACAGACGTAATCACTTTCATGCAACGCAGCTCTGGTTTTATGACAATGGTCAGGAAAGTGGAAGCTTGCAGTTTTATCAGAGTGGGTATTCCATCATGTTTACAGTGGGCTCATTGTGCTAACGTTAAATTTGACTGTTTTATTGTTGTGTATTAAATGAGGTAATTGCAGTTTAAAACATTTTACAGTAAGGATAATGAAACAACAACAAGGGAATGTTCTATTTTTTTTTTTATTATTATTATTCAGCCATAACATTGACAAATGTTTAAATTTAATTTTTAGAAGAATTCTTTCAGTGAATTGTACCGACGTGATTTAGTGGATGTTTGTCAGTTTCCAGATCAGAGAAAAATATTTAAAAATCTGTCTGCGTTTTATTAATCAACAGTCCAACACATAAATTAACTACCAATGCATGAAAACACTATTTCATGCACATGCAGCAGTGACTATTTTGTTTATTTATTTTATTTATTTATTTTTTGAAAGTTTAACTCAGCACCCCTGAAAAAAATAAAAAAAAAACATCATTAGGATTTTGTAAGGAAACTCAGTTGTCAAACCTTAGATTCACCAAAATATTGAATCAATTTGGAATAAATATGGAATAAATAATGTTACTCTTAATCAGTCCAGTAATTATTATTATTATTATTTTTTTTTTTTGCACAAGTCTGATCCTCAACACCACCTGTCAATCAATCCAGCAGGCTTGGCAGAAAATGACCAATCAGCAATCTCAATTTGTCCCGAAGTGGAACGCCCCTTTCCTGCAGGAGCTCCACCCCCTTTTTCTCCAACAACATTGTCGAGTTTTACATTATGAACACTTTGCAGTCAGAGAGATTTCATGAAAAATCATCAGAAGAATTGTTAAATGCTGTCAGTGGAGAACATATAATTCAGACAGATGTTACCCTGAGAGTTTAGAGGGTGGAATACAGTTTATTACATTTCAAAACCTAAACGGAGTCTGGAAAAATATAAAAGATGATAACGCCCTGCGGTCGACCTCATGAGCAGCTGAATACAACAGTGATGAACAGGAAGTACCACATGTTCATCTGTGTGAAGGTAACTGCAGGTAAATCCTCCATTTTCTGTCATAATTACATTGTAAGATTAATGATTAACTTAAAGGTTAATGCTTGAAGCTAGTTGTGTTTTGTTTTGTGTGTTTTAAATGTAGAAATATGTTGCAGCTTCTGGTTTCATAAGTTTAGTCTTTGTCACTTTAAACTAAACTGATTTTGTACAAAGTATTTATTAGGCTGTGTAATGTGAAGTGGAACACTACATGTGTAGCGTCTTAGCTAGCGCGTCTGTATTGTGCACCGCTAGGTTAGCACTACTTATTGTTTTCAAAAAGCGTTCAATACAAAAACAACTGGACTTTATTTATTTATTTATTTACAAATAAAGTCCAGTTGTTTTTGTATTGAACGCTTTTTGAATTCATCATGTCCTGGATGACTGAGAATCTTCACCAGCGTACTACTTATTGTTGTGCCATTAACTCTAAAATAGTTACTGGATCAAGTGTTTACATATGAAAGTAAATGTAGATGTTTAAAAACCTGTTAAAATACACCAGAATGCAGGAAATTGCATCTACTATATTCAAAGTTTTCTGGGGGAGGAGCCCCCCCCCCCCCCCCCCACACACACACACACTATTATGCCCCACTCCCCCCTGACAAATGTTTTTGATCCCAAATGCACATTGTTCAAGCCAAGAGCGATTGTCAGCACTGGGGGCTAAGCCCCCCTAAAGGTCAGATTCTAGAATCGCCCCTGATGTTTTGAATTTACAAAATTCATCTGGTAGAAAATGCAGTTTAGGATGCTTTGTCTGCAGCCATCTTAGTGTTCACTTGAAAAAACTGTTTACATTTAAATTGATAAAACTTGAAGAATTAGTTCTTCCACCTGGTAGAATGTGCTGAAAGTACAAGTTAACCTTGAGTAACGCCGTTGCTTGCTTTCTCCTCTTCCCTGAGAAACATCCATGCAGACGCCCTTGCATCGTTTAACAACAAGCTCAGTCACTTACAATCCCCCTCTCTCCTTTCCTCTTCCCGCCTCTCTCGCTACGCTTTGGTTGCCATGGTAATGAGAGGATCCTGCTGACCTAATTAGACAGCGAAGCAATGATGAAATATGCACGACGTGCTCCTTAGTGGACGTACAGTAGAGAGAGCAGGTCATTGCTGGCATCAGCATGGGGACAATCTAAAACAGACTGTGCCTCGGATTTTAGAGAGGAGAATTATTTGATCCTGCTTTAAGAGGAAACTCGACTAATGTGGGCACCGAGAGGAGAGGGAGTACAGCACACAGGAGAGGATGAAACAGACGAGCAGCAGAAGGAAGATGTTGCACAGAAATAAAAAGCCCAACATTGTGTGGGTATGTGAGGGGAGAGGAGTAGGAGCGTTTATGGAAATGATAGCGATTTAAACGTAATCCCTCTTAATCTATTAGCAGCAGCATACTCAGTCAAAACATCTTGTAATCTCACTCTTGGGAAGTGATTTACCCTCCACACACGTGAAGCCACTCAATGTATAATTTTAATGTGGCCCCAGGTCAAAATTTAGACATTAAACATTCTTAAATGTCTGAAATGTTCTTTGTTATTTAAAATGTAAAAAGATAACATTCATTTTGTTCAGTGTTGAGAGGTAAAAAAGGGCTGAAGGAGTGTAACCAAAGTGATGACAATGCTGCTTTTATATTTATTTTACTAAAATATGAAAAACTTCATATCTTCTCTACAAGAACCTCTGATCCTCGTTTTACTTCAGTAATTCTCCTTGCAGTAGCAGAATTCAAAATGGATACTTTATCTGCAAATAGGTTTTCTTTTGTGTGAAAAGTTGCTTTGCATTTGCTGCAAAGGTGCGTTATTCTGCAAAGTACAGGTGGCAAAATCAAAAGTAGAAAGTGACGACAGAAAATAAGTTACATGATGCAGCAAAGTGAGATAATGCACAAAAAGCAATTTTTCTGTTGTCTATATTACACTTTATTATCGGCTGCTTTATGATCCATTTCCTTGGATCTGGCTGTTATCACCCACTGCTTAGTTGAGTTTCATAGAGGTGTTCTGCTCAGAGTGAATACATTTTATTTTCTCACTAATTTGACTCTAACGATGGAAAATGTATAAAAAATAATTACCTCTGAAAAGGACTAAAGAATAATGACAGAACTGATTTGAGTATATAATAATTAAATCTAAATAATAAAAGTTAAAGTCAAAGTTTCTTTATTTTTCATACACACCACATGTGGTACATGTGGTGGAATGAAACTTGTGTACACAGGGTCCCAGTTACATTCAACAAAAGTATAAAATGTAAAGAAAAACAGTAATAAGATCTAAGATATAAACCAAGAAATACGCTAAACTAAGAATACTTTAAGTACTAGTAGTACAAAAACCATACGCCGAACAACAGCAGCACGGACATGAGTCTGTGTGAGTGAACACAGCAGTAATACAGTGCAACAGTAAATTATTCTTCTCATGGATGCTTTCATACTCTGGAGGTGGAAGG